TTTTACACGAGAAGGAATGTTTATTCAAGGATAAAAGTAAATCTGAGTAAAGGGGAGACATAAAAATTGGAGATAATTTAAAAAAATAAAATGCGATCATCTTCAAGATAATTCATGCTGTGCTCTTCACTTGCCTTCTCATTGCAGTGATCACTCTGTGTGACTATGATGGAGACAAACAAGACTCTGGTGACCGAGTTTGTCCTCACAGGACTCACAGATCGTCCAGGGCTGCAGGTGCCCCTGTTCCTGCTGTTCTCGGTCATCTACCTCATCACCATGGCGGGCAACCTTGGCCTGATTGCTCTCATCTGGAAGGACGCCCACCTTCACACCCCCATGTACTCACTCCTGGGCAGTTTAGCCTTTGCAGATGCATGCACTTCCTCCTCTGTGACCCCCAAGATGCTGATGAACTTTTTATCAAAGAAGCACGTGATCTCACTCTTTGAGTGCCTGGTCCAATTTTACTTTTTTGGTTCCAGTGCGACCACAGAGTGTTTCCTCCTGGTGGTGATGGCCTATGACCGCTATGTGGCCATCTGTAGCCCTCTGCTTTATCCAGTGGTGATGTCCAACAGACTCACTACCCAGCTTATTGCTGTCTCATATATTATTGGTTTTCTGCATTCAGCAATTCATGTGGGTTTGTTATTTAGATTAACTTTCTGCAGGTCCAATACCATGCATTACTTCTACTGTGAAATTTTACAGTTGTTTAAGATTTCCTGCACTGACCCTAGACTTAATATGCTCCTGATTTTTGTATTTTCAGCCTTCATACAATCTTTAACTTTCATGGGCATCATCATCTCTTACTTTTATGTCCTCTCTGCCATCCTGAAAAAGAAGTTTGAGAAGGGCAGATGCAAAGCCTTCTCCACGTGCAGTGGCCATCTGCTCTCTGTCTCCTTGTTCTATGGCACTCTGTTCTTCATGTATGTGCGCCCTGGGTCTGGCCCAGGCACAGATCAGGACAAAATGTACTCCCTGTTCTACACAATTATAATTCCCCTGCTAAATCCTTTTATTTACAGCCTGAGGAACAAAGAGGTTACAAGTGCCTTGAGAAGAATAATAAAGAGTGATTGAATGTATTAAAAAAGTAAATAAAAAGGAAAAAAAATGAAGAAATATATAGTTGACAGAAAATTTTCAACCTATTTCTTGTTTACCTTCTGCTGAAAATCTCCAAGTCCTATAGGTCGCCATGACTGCCATTTTACCAGAAGTTAGTGATTAGAGTGATCCAAGAGTTGTACGTGAAGAAAACCAGCTTTGGATCCAATATGAACCCAGTGAATGTTTGCTAACATTGTCTATTGCTTGTTTATTTAAAAATACTGCCTATATATATATATACACACACACATTCATATATATATATATGATTATTTAAAAAACCCACAAATATTACTGTCCAATATCTCAGCATTTGATTTTTGTGAATTATCTGTTTGCTAGGTAATTCCAAACTTACAGGTAGTAATTGGCAATTTTAGTGAGAAGAATTTCCTGAAAAATAGCTCTAAGGGAATCTGGTCTGGCATGTATGGTTAGTTACCTAAATGAGTCTAGCTAATCCTCTGGACCTGCAAGCTAAACAGCCTTCATGGTTCTCTGCCATACACAGTAACTCAGTTAGATGAAAATAAAAACTCTGTTCTTTTTTGTAGAATGTATTATTATTATTTTAATTTTGCTATTGGGCATACATGTTCATCAGAGAGAGAAAGCAAGCTGCCTGGTCTACCAGGTCTTGAACCACAGTTGGTCACATACAAGTAAAAAATGTGTTTTAGATCTCTTATTGCTGTGTGTCTGACTTCAGTTTTCCTGGGATAGCACTCCTTTCAGAACCTCTTGGAGAGCTGGTCTGGTGTTGGTAAATTCTTTCAGGTTTTGTTTATCTGAGAATGTTTTTGTCTTCTCTTCCCATATGAAGGATAATCTTCCTGATATAGTACACTCTTGGTTGAAATTGTTTTTCACTCAACACTTTGAATGTATTTTCCCATTCTTTCCTTGCTCGTATTATTTCCAATGAGAGGTCTGCTGTTAGCCAGTCTGAATATCTTGTCTTTGTCTGTGGTTTTGGCCATTCTGGCTATAATGTGTCTTGGAGAAGATTTTCTTGGGTTGTTCCTATTTGGGATCCTTTGTATTTCTTGGATTTGGATCTTTGGATGCCTCTTTAGGTTTGGGAAGTTTTCTTGCAGGATTTTATGGAATAGATTGTCAGTGCCTTTAATGGTCTCTTCACCTTTCTGGATACCAATTATCCGGATGTTTGGATATTTAATGGTATCTATTACTTCTTGTATATTATTCTCAATTTTTGGGCTATTTTCTCAGTCTCTGTGGTGGATTTTACTAGTCCAGTGATTCCATCTTCAACATCTGAGATTCAATTTTCTGTATGATCTAGTCTGCTTTTAATACTTTGAGTTTTTGAATTCCTGTATTATAGCCTTCATTTCAACAGTTCCATTAGATTCTTTTGTTAAACTACCCAATAAAATAATGTATGGTGCGGGACCAGCAGTTAGCATAATGGCTATGTCAACGGACTGCCACATAGTCGACCACGGTTTGTGTCCCAGACCCGGTGGCTTAAAACTCAAGCTGGGTGCTTGTGCGTGCGTGCCCAAGATCCTGAGAAGAGAATGGAGGAGAAGGGATTGTGGTGTGGCCATCCCCCCTGGGGGGTAATTTCTCGCTTTCTGTCTCTCTGTCTCTCTTTGTCTGTCGAGCACATGCGCCCTATAGCAAAAACCTCTCCAAAAAAAAATTAAAAAAGTATGGTGCAATTTCAAAGATAAGAAGAATGTAAAAAAATTAACATGTAGTTGGTTTTCCAGCTATTCCAAACAAAATATGTTCAAAGTATATGAAAAATTAGCTTATTTATATAAGTAATAAAAATGTATTTCAGATACTACTTTAAAAAGAATGTTAGTAAATTATAGAAAAGGGATTTTTTAGAAAAGGAAAAGAAAAAATGTTAAGGAAATGAGTATGTAGTTACGGTGCTTACAAAATTAGTTTCAAAGACTATGTGAAATTTCTGAAAATTACCTGCAAGTACAGTTTTAAAAGTCAATAAATTTAGAGCTGATAGGTGGCATAGTGGTTAAGGTGTTAGACTTCAACATGGATGACCTGTAGTTAGAGTACCAGACTGGGTGGCTTGAAAATTACATCAGGTGCATGTGCATGCATGTCCAAGATCTTGAGATGAGAACAGAGGAGGAGTTTTGACATGGCCAAACTTACCCTCTGAGGGTTCATTTCTCACTTTCACTCTCTCTGTCTCTGCCTTGTGAGTACATGCATACTGTGGCAAAAATCTAAAAAAAAAAAAATCAATAAATTTAACATGAGGGATTTTTTTATTAGATTTTTTTTTTTAGAATGTATTACTTAGAATAATTGGGTTTAACAAAGGAACTATAGCATGTAAAATAGAGAGTCCATCATAACTTGACTACCCACTTGTGGTGATCTAGGGCACATACATAAACAGAAGGGGACAAAAGTACTAAGACATAGGTAGGAGATGGCCTCCATAGGCAGAGAAGGCTTTTCTTATGCCTTTAACAGATTTCTTTTTAAAGACTATAAAGAGAACAAACATGAGGAAAAGAACTATCAAAATGATGAATATCTGAATTGAACCAGACCAAAAAAAAAAAAGTGTTAGAAAGTTGATAGAGGAGTCAGTACAGGAAATCTGTAACAATGGCACAATATCACAATACAAATGATGGATTAAGCTGGAATCACAGAATTTTAACTTCATGAAATAAAGCATGAAAGACCTCCCACAAGTGAGAAGACTAATAGCCAGGTGCAGAATCTGTTGGTCATCATCACCAGATAAAGTAAAGGTTTGCATATGGCCACATAGCGATCACATGCCACTTCTGCCAAGAGAAAACATTCTGTGGTTGCACTGACAACAAAGGGAAAAAATTGTGTCATGCATTCAGAGAGAGAGATGATCTTACTATTGGCTAGGAAGTTGACCAGCATCACTGTGGATGACACTCAAATATCAACAAAGGCTAATTAAGTACACTGGAGGTGACATTGGGTGTCATTCCAGATGAGACAAATCAAGATTCCCCTTGATGGTGATGAGATCTATTGTCAAGAATGCCAGGAATACATGGGGACCAGCAGTTAGTGTAATGGCTATGTCGCTGGACTCCCACGTAGTTGACCACGGTTCGCATCCCGGACCCGGTGGCTTAAAACTCACGCCAGGTGTGTGTGCGTGCGTGCCCAAGATCCCAAGGGGAGAATGGAGGAGAAGGGATTGTGGCATGGCCATCCCCCCCTGGGGGGGTGATTTCTCGCTTTCTGTCTCTCTGTCTCTTTCTGTCTGTCTGGCGAGCGCATGCGCCCTATAGTG